GTCCACATTGAGCGCCCAGAGCCTGCATTGACTGCCCAAAGCATGCACTGACCGCCCAGATGCTACATTGACTGTTCAAAGCCCTCAATGACCTGCCAGATCCGACACTGACAACACAAAGCCCGCACTGACCACCACACTGACCACCCAGAGCCCCCACTGACCACCCAAAGCCCACACTTGCCACCCAAAGCCCACACTTGCCACCCAAAGCCCACACTGGCCACCCAAAGCCCGCACTGACCACCACACTAACTACCCAGAGCACGCCCTGACCCCGCAGTGACCACCAAGAGCCCATACTGACCACCTAAGAGTCCCACTGACCACCATAGAGACACACTGGCCCCCTGAGAGCCCCACTGACCACCAGAGAGCTGCACTGGCCCCCTTAGCACCAAACTGACCGCCACAGAGCTGCACTGGCCCCGCGAGAGCCCCACTGACCGCCAGAGAGCTGCACTGGCCCCCTTAGCGCCCACACTGGCCACCTTTGAACCTGAACTGCCTCTTGAGAGCCTGCACAGCCCTCCTGAGACCCTGGACACATCAGTTACGGTTTAGGGTTGGAGTTAGGGTTAAGGTTAGGGGTTAGGGCTTAGGGATAGAGGATAGGGTTAGGGCTTGGGGTTAGGGTTAGAGGTTTGGGGTTTAGGGATAGGGTTTAGGGTTAGAGGTTGGGGATCAGGGTTGGGGTTAGGGCTTGGGGTTTAGGGTTGGAGTTAGGGTTAATGTTAGGTGTTATAGTTAGGGCTTGGGGTTAGAGGTTAGGGTTAGGATTGGAGTTCGGTTTAAGCTTATGTGTTAGGGCTTGGGGTTAGTGTTAGATGATAGGGTCTGGGCTTGGGGTTAGGGGATATGGTTAGGTTTTAGCGTTAGGGCTAGCAAAGGGTTAGGGGTTAGGGTTGGGGGAAGGGGTTAAGGTTAGAGGGTTAGGATTAGTGAAAGGTTTATGTTTAGGGTTAGAGGATAGGGTTAGGGTTAAGTTGGGGTTACGGGTTAGGGTTTAGAGTTAGAGGATAGGGCTAGGGTTTTTTATGTGTTAGAGGTGGGTTTAGGGTTCAGGTGTAGGGTTAAGAGTTAGGGTTTAGCTTTAGGGCATAGAGCTAGCGAAGGGTTAGGGTTTGGGTTTATAGTTAGAGGGTTAGGATGAGGGTTAGTGAAAAGGTTAGTGAAAGGGTCACGCCCCTTCTTCAGAATGTGTTGAAGGGGGCGTGACCCCGGAAACGCATCAACAACACAACAATTCAGTGGCACACAGACAGATTGCAGTCCTGAAACTGCTGTTTCTCTGAAACCATCTATATACGCTGTTGTTTGACCTTCCATTGTGAGTACCCTTGCACTCTTGTTTATTGTGTCTTTTAATATTAAAAGGATTATCTGCACTAGGTTGGGCGCCCTTCTGTCTCTTTTGTATTCTGCATTGCTGTATAATGCATTACTTTGATTTGTAGTCCTCTTTAGTTGGTGCTATTCTCCATTGCTGTATAATGTATTACTGGGATTTGTAGTCCTCTATAGTTGGTGTTATTCTGCATTGCTAAATAATGTATTGCTGAGACTTGTAGTCTGTCTACAACTCAGGATCACAGCTGCAGCCAGGCCCCGGAACTCCCCCACTGACTCCAAACTGTAGAGAGACTACAAATCACATCCGGACAGAAAGAAGAGGGCCCTGGTGACCATAAACATTTCCATATAAAGGCCCACCTAAATCCTCAACACCAGCCCCATGATGCTCTTAGTCCGGCCCTGAATACAGATAAACAAATGCTTCTTACTGCACAGAGATGGACCTGCAACTACATAATCCTGAGGTGTGACTTCAGCCCTTCTATAGAGGAAACTTCACTGCGTTGTTCTTTTACTTTTCTTCGCCAATTCTACAACCTTTCTGTGTTGATTTTAATATGACTTTATTCCCTTATAATGGCATTGAGCTTTGCATTGTGTTCATGTCATGTTCCATAAAGTTATTCAAATGCCTGAGGATAACAGGCTAAGGAAACATTTAATCACAAGGTCCTTTGGTGGGTCACATGTAATATAATACTCTTGTGTGTTTAAACGTTACATTGTCTTATGTAGTATATACAATGCAAAGACATGAAGCAACTTTATTCCAGGATGAGCTCTATCAGTGGCGGAACTACCGCTGGTGCAGGCGGTGCGGGCGCACCAGGGCCTTGGGCCTGTGGGGGGGCCAGCACAGTCCCAGCGCCGGATCGGTACCCAGCGGCCAGCGGAATCGGAGACTAATGAGTGTACAGGAACAGAACAATTAATCCTAGATTGCATATGTCGGCCCCTAATCTGTCTGCAGTACCAGAGAGCTCACATTCCGGGATAAGCAGACAATGAGGTTAACCCTGTGTGCTCTGTTTCACATTTCTCACATCTTCAATACATTCAGACATAAAAAGAAACCTAGAGAGAATAGGTTCTGCGGATATAGAAGAGTAGCAAAGTCGATTTGTAACAATATTGTATTGTGATAACAGATTGGAAGGTTTTTGTTCCTCCGATAGACGAACAACGTTCCCCACGATGCAAGTTGCTTCGTAGTAACTGTACAATCTTCCGATCACTTTGATTTGACAGAAATTACAATATAGAGAACCGACATGCTGTATATACAGATCTTTGTACGGAGAATGTGGTGGCTCTGAAAAGAGCCTTTGTGTTGCGTAATGGATAATGATAGCGGGGTCTCCTCTTATGCCCTCTCCCCTCGGATCCTGCGGGCCAGCTGGATGTCTTTGGGCATGATGGTGACCCTCTTGGCGTGGATGGCGCAGAGGTTGGTGTCCTCGAAGAGTCCTACGAGATAAGCCTCGCTGGCCTCCTGCAGAGCCATGACAGCCGAGCTCTGGAAGCGCAGGTCGGTCTTGAAGTCCTGGGCGATCTCGCGGACGAGGCGCTGGAAGGGCAGCTTTCGGATGAGCAGCTCGGTGGATTTCTGGTAACGTCGGATCTCTCGGAGGGCCACAGTGCCGGGCCTGTAGCGGTGAGGCTTCTTGACTCCGCCGGTGGCCGGGGCGCTCTTACGGGCAGCTTTGGTGGCCAGCTGCTTGCGGGGAGCTTTCCCGCCGGTGGATTTACGCGCTGTCTGCTTAGTTCTCGCCATATCTTCTCAAAGCTTAGCTGGAACAAGGAATGTAAAGCACTGCCGCGCTGCAGTGCTATATATACACACCCCAGCTCTCTGATTGGACAGTGAACGCCCTCCCCTTTTCATGATAGAATCAGTTAGCATTTTTCAAGATTCCCGCCTACATTTGTCCGTTGAGTAACCCGCCTTTTTGTCCCCTCCACATGAAACAATGCGCGGAGCTTTCCCTAATACATACATGAGAAGATATCAGTACGATTAGTAGATCGGAAGATTAGTTAATCAGTCTTGTAGATTTCAGTTTGCGGTGCATTGTAACATTTCACAAACATCCGGCTAAATTATATACTTCCGACGCGGTTAGGCTTCTAATGCACTCCACACCGGGAGGATTGTTCCCGGATTCTAATGTTTATAACAGTTTCATTACAGCGGTGGCACAAAGTATGGGCAGTTTTCGAAATGTTTTGCAACTTTGCAGGCTTATAGGAAATGTTATTTTGCACCAAATGCAAATATTTATATGTCAATTTAAAGAAAATGTCACGCTGAATGTAATCCTGGAAACAGAATGCAAATATATTCAGTACAACACAAGTTATGATTACTTACGTCTAACAAAGAAACACAAGTGGGATACAGTAAACAAGCGGATGTTAAGTGCAAACAATACTGGCCAATCACAGTCCTTGCTCCGGAGACCAATCAAATGGCAGAACTCAGAAGCTGAGGAAAGTCAGTGTTGCGGTGTGTTCTGGTATTTGGAGTGATGAAAGTCAGATTTCCTCATCTGGTAGAGATGACTGAAAGTAGGAGAGACGTAGAGTAGGCGAAGAGCTATATCCTGATTGCATAGATGCAAATATACAGCAACCAACAAGCGTCATGATTTGGGCATGAATGGCAGCAAACGGTGTTGGCCGCCTTCATGTAATGGACGCCCGAAAATACATGAACTCCATCCTGGAACCAAAACCTTCCACCAGGGATCTCTTTCCCAGCAATGCACCGTTTCTAGTTCCGAAGGATTTAGCAAACATGCAATCAGCACCGTTCACACCAAAGTCCATCCCATTGCTGACCTGCCCAGGAAGCAGCCCGGACCTGAGCCCGATGGAGAATGTGTGGCACCGTTTGGAAAGCCTTGAGACTAGAATTGCTTCCTATGCAGTATATTCACCATGATAGCACTATGCCCTGCATTACCTTTTTGTTCTGCATTTTATTTTTAAACCAGCATTAAATGTTTATTACATTGACATATAAACATTTGCATTTGGTGCAAAATAACATTTCCAATCAGCCTGCAAAGTTACAAAACATTAAAATGTCAAAGTGTCCACAATGTTCCCACCACTGTTATTGTCATACCAGTCTAGAGCCTATAGGATTGTTATCCATATGGGAACGAAAACCAAGCTATCGGCATCTTTTGAAATAATTTTGGTTTCTAATGAGACCTGTGATTACGATTTTGATATTCTGAATCATGTGATATGGAGATCTAATCCCAGATAACACACCGGCAGCATTATACAAATGTTTACTCTGCACACTCCACAGGCCTGACTATGCGCCGCTCCGGCAGTTTGTATTGTAAAGTGCTATTCTCCACCTGCAGATTATAATTATTAGGTGATTTAGCTGCTCCAATTTACAGGTAAACAAAAGCCATCAGAAAATATTACACAACCTAAATATTTATCATTTCTTGAAGAGATTACACTTTATTTTTTTACACCTGTTTGTTGGAGTGATTACTAATGAAAACTAAACTTTGATCATAAAATCATGATTGTTAGTAACCAGGTTATAGCACTTTCTATGAGAAGGTGGGTGGCCCTTAAAAGGGCCTTTGGGTATATGAAACGGGCTGATGAGTTACAGCTTAACCTCCGAATCCGTAGAGAGTGCGTCCCTGGCGTTTGAGAGCATAGACGACATCCATGGCGGTGACGGTCTTCCTCTTGGCGTGCTCGGTGTAGGTGACGGCATCGCGGATGACATTCTCCAGGAAAACCTTCAGCACTCCGCGGGTCTCCTCATAGATGAGTCCGGAGATACGCTTGACACCCCCTCTGCGGGCCAAGCGTCGGATGGCGGGTTTGGTGATGCCCTGGATGTTGTCCCGGAGCACCAATTTCCCTTCCTGAGCAGACGGTGAACACGTCCGACTGGGAACTGCAGACCAGCCCGGGATGATCGGGTCTTGGCCTTAGCACGAGTCTTGCCTCCCTGTTTACCACGTCCAGACATGTTTCAGTTACAAAATGTTACCTCCAAAAGAGTTAGACCTTTGGCCGCGCTCTGTTCTATTTATACCATGTAGAATGTGACGTCTAGCTATGTGATTGGTAAATCTGTAAGCCAGCCAATAGCGTTCATGTTCGTCGCTAATCCAATCAGTCAACCGTGCATGAAAACATTACCTCATTCTCATCATATGACTTAATCCTCCAATAGAAAAGCGAGGAGGGTTCTGGTCTCATTTGCATAGCCCGGCTATATAAGTTGCACATGAGTGCTGCTCGTGCACACATTCGCTACAGAATTAGAAACTGTTATTATGCCTGAACCAGCCAAGTCTGCCCCGGCGGCCAAGAAGGGCTCCAAGAAAGCCGTAGCCAAGACTCAGAAGAAGGACGGCAAGAAGCGGAGGAAGACCAGGAAGGAGAGTTATGCCATCTACGTGTACAAGGTGCTCAAGCAGGTCCACCCCGACACCGGCATCTCCTCCAAGGCCATGGGCATCATGAACTCCTTCGTCAATGACATCTTCGAGCGCATCGCCAACGAGGCTTCCCGCCTGGCTCATTACAACAAGCGCTCCACCATCACCTCCCGGGAGATCCAGACCGCCATCCGACTCCTCCTGCCCGGAGAGCTGGCCAAGCACGCCGTCTCGGAGGGCACCAAGGCCGTCACCAAGTACACCAGCGCCAAGTAAACATCAACATGGCACTACCCAAAACAAGACCCAAAGGTTCTTCTAAGAGCCACCCAACACTTCACCAACTGAGCTGTGATATGATTTGTACCCCCCCCCCAAGAGTTCGAACATGTTGATCAGAAATAAAGGTTTCATTTTGAAGGAACTTGTAGTCTTTAATACGTTCCAGGTAGACCTAACGAACCCTTGTATACACACACCCCATACAATAGCGGCTGAAGCGTCAGGTTTCCCGCTTGTTTATTAGTTTCCGTATTTTCTCAGCTCTTACTGAATTAGGTCCACTTTAACCCATTCTATACCACACACTCCTATACAGTACACAGATCTAGTCTCTGGAGGTGACATTCTGACAGGAAACAAACCGATGACATTGTACATCTTCCCGGACCCCCGTACAGAGGCGATGTAACATGTGACTACCAGGCGGCAGTGTTGTTCCTCCATAGAGCGGACATTGGAGTCATGGATCTGTATTGTATCCATATGCAACTGATATAAGAACTTGCTGAGTGCTGATACAAATGTTACATTAAACACTTGTAACAGTGGCAAGAAAGGGAAACAAATCTATATTTGCCTGGAGCATTGAGGTGAATGCTTGGGGCACGATGTACAGTATTTAGATGTAACCTCTAAAGTCACTGGATAATATTTTCAAGCGTAAAAAGACTTACAAATCCAGCCCTGTCCATCCCTTAAAGTGGCCGTCACTGATTGTCAAACTGAAATTAAGCAAATCACTAACAACAAGTGCAAATCATTATTTCTGCTGCCCAAACTACTGAATGATGCTTTATTGAATAGAAAATGTATTTTGGGAATGTGGCACTTCGGGAGTGTTGGTTTCTCTTGTTCTCACAAGTGGAAGGCAGTGGGGGGGATACATAAGTGTTGCAGGAGACACATGGGATCAATAC